CTAATACCTCTGGTAGATGGGGGAAGCATTATAGATACCTCTCAGCTAGTAGAGCCGGTCTCGCTGGCTGGGCGGGACTGATGGTAAGCACCAGTACCGGTAGGATATAGAGACTGGTAGAAATCATAGAGGGAAGCACAATGGACCAATACAGGTCTCAGTGCATGGGGAAAACCACCTTCTCCAATAACTAACTAACTAACTAGGTACTGGCCTTCAACGGGCTGATCCCCCATACAAGGAGTCCTACCGACTGAAGTGAAACAAGCATTTCATGGATGCCCTATGCTCCAGGGGGAAGGAGGAATAAGATACCATAGTTAATGTTATCTGATCAGTTTGTTACACAATGGCACAGTATAGAATTACTAGTGTTTCCCTGCTCTTACTCGCTTCCACTGTCTTGCATTTCGGATACTGGCTGAAGATAATTTTATATTTGAATTCGACATACAGCTTGAACATACATCACGGTATTCACCATAAAAATGCTCTTGCCCTCTTACACAACCTTTCCTAAAGAGAGGAAAGGAAATCATATATTTACCCACTTCAGAGTTTTGATAAGCCTATCGTTTATTCTGTTAATGTAAGATAAGCAGAGTAAGATAAAATAACCACCACTCCTGCTTTTGCCAACTCAGCCATCCCTTCCCATAAAATTACTAATTCACTAAAAACCTTTAAAGTTGGTGTTTCACAAACTTTGAGTCTACAGTGTCTACTGAATTCGGTGCTGCCTCTTTTTTCCTCACTGCTCAAAATAATTATACAGAAAGGATTGAAATATACCTCATATCTATACGATACAAGTTTACTAATGTAACTGTTATGACTTCTTAAAAGAACTGGATACATGTAAAACATTTATTTAACTGTTGTATCAGAGAAGCCATGATAGCCCAGTCAGTATAATTACTACACAATGGGTTGAGTGACCAATGAATCAGGGTTCAATTCCTGGCTGGGGCAAGAGATTATTCTGTCATTCATAATGTCCGTATCAGCTCTGGGGCCAGTTGAGCCTCCTATCCAATGGGGTCAAGGGGTTCTTTTCTTCTAGAGTACAGTGGACAGGGCAGGAAGCTGACCACTCACCATCATGTAGGGAGGTCATGTGTGTGGAACTACACCTCCATGCCCCTTATGTGATCATGTTGTGTTGCTTCATTATGAACAGGGACAATTTTGCCTTACTGTTTAACGTTTACATCAAAAGCTGTCTTTGAAATACAGAACGAAATGAATTATAAACTGGATCATGGAACCTCCTCGATGCAAAATGGAAACACAACAATTATGCCGTACATAAGATCAGGAAAATTACAATGAATCACGATTATCTTACCAGTCTCTTCTCTCTGGAAGCATCTTGGCCTAAAAACAGTGTGCCCAGTTTCTTTGATGTGTTCCCGCATGCTCTGCTGATATACTCCACTTTCCGGTCTGCCTCTTGGAGGTCATCAGACAGCACCTCGGTCTTCCCAGCTCTGGAAAGACAGCGTTGAAGAAAATTTTGCAAATGCATTGCCCTTTTATTAATATCACCATAGTATCTAAAAGATGTAAAAGTTTATCCCTCCAAGGTGTACACTTCCTTCATAGGATTTGAGGTTCTCACAGTGGTGAACATGATGAGTTCTATCTTCTGGGACATAACGCCATCGGGTCCACTGAAAGTCAAGCACTCTTTAAGACGAACATGTCACCCTCCTCCATGGTCAATGGATACGCCAAGCAAGAAGCTGGCATGAAACACACAGCAAGCTTCAACCGTGAAGATTGAGGCAACATGTTTCTCTGAAACACTGGCTGACTTCAAGAGACTACATGGCATTATATAACAGAAGAAAGAACTCTTCAACACTTTTCTGTGCCAGAACAGGCTACCCAATATCCACTGCATCAGGAGTATCTAACAGGCATGATTCTCACATTCCATGACCAGATTCTATTCATACCAGGCACTCCAACAACTAATGCTGTTTCCTGAAACGTCCACACACATACTCCTAATATACAGTTAGTTCAGGCAATGGTGGTATTGTGGTTCATGTTCCACTGTGTGGGGCACCAATCAATCACCACCCATTTTTTGCACCCAGCCTTATGAAAAAGAATGGGTTTTCCATAGAGGATCCAGCACCAGGCAAACCAGTTACCTGAATGCAGTCTTTCAAGTGATATTCCTTGAAGGTGCAGCTCCATTCAATGTTGGTGCCGAAAAAGTGCTTTACTGGGTGCCCATTAAAACACTTGTACTGACTTGGCAACACACCTGTTACTTGCACAAACTTTAAGCTCACTTCTTCTCCAAATGACAACTGTCAAAACTATGGATGCACAATTCCAGAGTGACTAAAGTGAAGAAATGAGGAAAATACTGCATTTATACATACATCAAAAATGCTACGCAACACGTCCACAGCTTCTGCATACATGTGGGCTTCTTTCATTTGTAAAATGGGTAAATGAGAAAACTGAGAATGAGAAAACAGAAAACAACAAACCACGCACATATCAGTTACTTTAATTGTTCCATCCTTTTCACTGTCACCAAAGAGAGGGATTTTTTCAGCTTCCATGAGCAATGGAAAAGAAATGAATTTTACAATATGTGGACATGCACATAGATATGTTCTTTTTGGTTAACTCACCTTGAAAAATGCTGATCTGCTAGCTGCTTAACTCGAAAAAACTGCTTCTTCATTTTGAGACCTGAGCTTTGCAAATCTCTGTCAAAGTGTACAAAGCTGGGCATTAAGTAATTCAATATCCATCGAGTAATAACTGACTTCAAGTTACATCAAAACGCAGCATTTTCTGAAACACAAAACAGAATGTTCGATCTGCGTATTTTCTCAGTAAAGTGGCAGCGTTAACAGTTCTCAACTACAGCATCAAACTAAAAGAGTGATCACTGTAATCCCTTCAGCAAAGTGAAACAGCTTGCTGATTAGGCTTCCTTCACAGCATTTAGAACTATATTTCCTTCAACAAACAAGATCAATTTCTTTCATAACTATGTTTATAATTATGCTACACTAATCTGCAAGTATTTTTTATTGCTAGTGGGGTGAGACTAAGTCCCTTGTACTGCGGCCACTTCTGGCCTATTGTACCAGCCCCAGATGATAGGTGAGGGTGACTGTGGAGCAATTGGTGGAATGAAGATTGGCAGGGGAAACCGAAGTATTCGGGGAAAACCTGCCCCAGTGCCACTTTGTTCACCACAAATCCCACTTGACCAGAACCGGGATCGAACCCGGGCCACTGCGGTGGGAAGCCAGCGACTAACTGCTTGAGCTATGGCACAGCCAATCTGCAAGCAAATAAAGGTTCTGAAATGAACAGTAGCTACCACATGATCAAGGCCATCAATCTCAAAGACTGAGAACACTATGAACCACAACTTCAAACCTAAACAGCTAGAATAGTAAATGAAGTAAGTAATAGCTACTGTGAACTTAATGGAAACAATAGGAGTTCTGAATGAATGAGAAAGTGTGGAACTAAAGTATCTGTGTAAAATTCCAAAAGTAAAAAAAACTGCCTTCAGTAAGAGATTAAGAAAACACACACAAATCATTTCTTAGGTTAAGGGAAAATTGAATGCTGGGCTTCTGTTCTTGAGCGGGTTATCTAATGATGTTCTCTGTATCAAGGCTATGTAGCATCACACACACTTCTTAAATGGAAGATACTGTGTTAGTCACCGACAGATTGCACAACGTCTGTTTATGTATGCAAATCTCTTCATTAATACATCAAGATCAACAAGTTATCATGTGATGAAACATGCATTTAGAGTGACACTTTGCAATCTTATATAGATTACACAATAACATTGCACACACTACTTCCTTCTTATATTGTGACATAAAAACAAAAGATATTATACTCCTTCAACCTGCACTATTCTCTGACATTCTTCTATGGGCGAAGAACTTGCTAATTACAGTAGCTACGTGGGCAGAATGACATCAAACGGTAGGAAACCTTGACATGAGCAAGAATAATGGCATTGAACTATATTCCTATACATTCCCAGGCCTCACTATCAGATGAAGGCACTGGCTTCATGCTCTTGACACATGTAATCTTAGCAAGATGCCCAAACAGGGCTGTAGTTGAGCCACTGTGGACCAGGGTGGTGCCCTGGTGCTTTTCTGAGTGTTGGGTGCCACCTCGGTACTTCCTTTAAAGGCAACAGTGTGACACATAAAGATGTACAGAGATATTGGGTTTTCGCACTTTATCCATCGTCCTGGTTTTTTAAGATAACTAAGAAAAACATGACGTTTCGGAAACTGGATTTGTTTCTGTCCTCAGGTGAGGGAAAAACACCTATTCTCTTGGGTCCCTTAGAAAGACCCACTGGACCAGTGATTGAGGCTAGCCCTTTCTAGGGGACCCAACAGAATAGGTGTTTTTCCCTCACCTGAGGACAGAAACAAATCCAGTTTCCGAAACGTCATGTTTTTCTTAGTTATCTTAAAAAAAACCAGGACGATGGATAAAGTCCGAAAACCCAATATCTCTGTGTGTTATACACCACTGTCAGAATCCTATAGTAACTACATAAAAATGTCTTATTTCCAACCTCTAAAGTAGAAGCATTCTTTCAATATATACATTTCATAAGCTGTTTGTCATTAACTACTGTTAATTGCACATTTAAAAGTGTAAAGCTATCATTAGATAATAAGAACAGCTTCATGTAATTTTTGTATTGTATCATTATTAGTGGGTCAAGGAGGATGAGGTGGGCAGGGCATGTAGTAAGAATGGGGGAGATGAGGACTGCATATAGGATATTGGTGGGAAAGCCAGAAGGAAAGAGACCACTGGGAAGACCAAGATGTAGGTGGGTGGACAATATTAAAATAGATCTTAGAGAGATAGGATGGGACAGTATGGATTGGATTGATCTGGCTCAGTATAGGGACCAGTGGAAGGCTTTTGTGAACACGGTAATGAACCTTTGGGTTCCATAAAATGCTGGGAAATTCTTGAGTAGCTGCAGAATTGGCATCTCCTCCAAAAGGGCTCAGCTCCATGAGTAAATAAGTATTGTTATTAGTAGGGTGAGACTGAGTCCACTTGGTACTGCGACCACTACTGGCCTATTGTACCAGCTCCAGATTTTAGGTGATGGTGACTGTGGAGCAATTGGTAGAATCAATATTGGCAGGGAAAGCCGGAATACTCGGAGAAAACCTGCCCCAGCGTTACTTTGTCCACCACACATCCCATACAACCAGACACAGGCTCGAACCTGAGCCCTGTGGTGGGAAGCCAGCGACAAACTGCTTGATCTATGGCACAGCCCTGGCTTCATATCATGATCTATACCCATTTCTTCCCATCTGGAACTGTGTGCCAGATTGTCCTAGCACTTCCACCATTACGATACCTCTATTTCCCAGGTACCTCCACAACATAACGATAGTAAAATTTCCAGTATCGAAGTAGGAACTCAAACCTTGTTAATGGTTCCAGTGATCTGCCTTATCAAAACAATGGCAATACTTTCGCTGCAACATTTAAACCTGGTAAGATAAACAAATGTAGAGAGGCTAAACTAGTAGGTACAGTTAGGTACATGCTAAACTACTCAATCCAATCCACATTTAAAGAATAAATGACTATGAAACCCTTGCATAGTCACATTCTGGAATCATTCAAAAATTAATTCATGGACCATACCACTGCCCACCACGTTTGTTCTCAGAATGACAGAATTAACATTACTAAGGGAGATAAAGTGCCAGTCTCATATCCGTATAAGCTTAGCCTCACACAGCAATAAGTTGCTAACAAAACCTGGAGATGGAGTAAGCATGCAAAATTTTAAGACACATTTTACCAAATTTTTTAAAGAACTTGAGGGGGGGAAAAAAAGAGTATTTAAAACATGTCCAACAATATCCAGTCTCAGAAAAATTTATTTCAATAATACTTATAAAACTGCATTGAAATGAAAAAAAAAAGTAACGTATAAACAGAAGCAGCGAAAAGGCACAATGTAAAATATATATATATATATACCTACAGTCCATTAAGTACATTTGACCTTAATATGAATCCTTCAAATTTTAAACATGTAATAACCTAGCTGTATAAAACTACGAGCTACTAAATAATCATATTCAGTTTGGTACTAGTAACCAGATTAAAAGCGAAATGGTTAATCAATGTGATTATAAGTTGATTCCAAAACATACCATGTTTGCAGATCAGATCCACGCCAACTTTTTACACCTACTGAAATATGCTTTCATTATACTTAACACATACTTACACTACTTTCCATATAATTCTTTATACTTCAAATAGTATCAGTGTTAGAAAAGGATGTCACTTTCCCGCAGATCTCTTAGTACACTGAACATCTCTAAATTACAATGGGGGAGCTTTAGTAAGCTACCATCAATGACCATTACGCTGATTGCCGTGTAACAATTGTAACAAGAGAGCAATCACTATAACAATTGGCACACTGCAGACAAGACTTCAATAAAGACTAATTTAAAACACACTAATCAAGCACATATGCCCAGCCCATTACATCAGGCATAATGGCCGAGTGATATCATCGTGTTAACAAGTGCTAAATAACAAGACTTGCATTTACCAGAATTCATATGTTCAAAAATTATGAAAGACTCCCTGAACCTCCGGATCTTCAAAGTCACAACATACTTGTGCGCAATTAGCCGGCTGAACAAGATATAACACGTATTAACACTCCGAATTTGCAACTTTCTTCCTCCTCTTCTTCGATTCTATATACACATATCGACTGAGCGTGACACTTCGATAAATCGAAGGAGAGTACATCCGTAGATCGAAGTAAGCGACCGCTCTTTGATTCGATAATCCAAAGATGTTAATTAGAAATACAGTTCACTATAGATTCGAATTTATACAAGAAAATGGAAAATAAAATGAAAAGGATAAGTAAAGTGCAACTCTTCATATATAATAGCAGTTTATAGTGATCAAAATTCCAAACTTCTACATTGGAGTACGCTTACAACCACTATAATTCGAAAAGCAAATTAGACGTTGAATCGAAATCTAAGATCTTAGACATTTTACACACCCCCTATGTCCCTCCATTCCTTTTTGTTACCACCCCCCCCCTTGTCGACACGGAAGTTCACAGAAAACTGTGATGGCGTGTTCAGTCTGAGCGAAGTTTTCGAAACGTATCTAGTAGTACAGAGTTCTTATTTTCAAAATGGCTTTTGACAGAAGGTTCTTAAATGTTATTATATTAGGATTCGCGTTTATGTTTGTGTTTACGGCATTTCAAACAATGGGAAACATCGAGGTAAGGAGAACAGTATATTCTTTTAAATTACAACCTACATATGTCACGACTGTCGAATTTTTAATGTTAAATTAAACATCATACTTGTCTGAATAACTGTCATAATTATGTCAAATTATTTCTTTGCATTTTACAAGCACAGAGCTATATGGTGTATTATCCGTAGTGATATAAAGCCCCTTTTAAAAAAGCGCGTTATTGATTTACGGTAGGGCGATGAACACGCGCCTGATACGAATAGTAATTTACGTGGAATTCATTGACCACTTTCATTTTAAGGTTATACGTAACATCGAAGTTATACAGCAGTTAGAAATAAAACAATTTTAAATTCAGGAAAGGCACACCATAAGTCAGTTGAGAAAGCAATTCGTCTTTAACGAAAATATTGTCCCTAAAGCAAGACCTAAGTGCAGTACACGAGAATTCTGTTTCTCATGTCAGCGACAGTGAAGATTACAATCTTCTGGGATGTGACGCCATGTACTTTGGTAGATCGTTACCGACGCATCGAAGGAAAGTACTACCCCTTTTTTTTCAGAGTTGAAGACTCTATGGCCTCGCTCCCCCCNTCGCTCCCCCCTCCCCCCCCTCAAAAATTGTAATCGTCAAGTGTGTAATATCATACTCCCATATAATTTAATCATATAATCACGGTACTTTCTTAAACTCGCACAGGGAGATCAAGGCGACAAGTCCTTCACAAGCAAAAGGTTAATAAAATCTTCTGTTAATGTTTTTAGTTGTATTAATCTTTCAAATTTCAATTTAAAATCCATGTATGACAACCAATATGCGCAATTTCAAATCATTGTATATAATTTCTAGGCATTTTATAAAATACTTGAATATTACCAGTAACATAATACTTTTTTCAAAACGTGGTTTTAACAGTTTTTTTAGGTGGCTATGTAAACTGGTTTTTTGAGGCCCACATGTAAAATATTTTACATTTTATAAAATATTTCCTCTCTTGGACCCTGGTCATTTCTTCACCCAGAGATGTTTTTGAAAGACCCTACTTTCAGAAAACTTCAGATTCATGAATTAATATGCTTACATAAAAACCGAAAAGGGGGGGGGGACTTTATTTTACAATGTTAATCGGATAACACTTTTTCGGTGTGGTAGTTCAAAATTTCTTTATTATTAAGATAGTATAACTAACACATATTTATGCATAACTGTTTAATTAACATGTAACAGGAGGTCAACAGTGGCCCCTTTCAGGAGGAGTTTAATCTAGTTCAAACATTCACGATGTAATTTCGTGGAACAGTGAGCTCAGCGGTACTGATACTCAGAAGGTACTTATTAAGATCCCAGGCGGGACACCCTCTCCCCTGACTGAGGTGCTTCTGGTTATTTTGGGTCACTCCGAGTGACTGCCACTATAACTACTCCATGGAACAGAGTCCTTCCTGCAAAGTTGATAGTAGCTCAGCTAGTAATCAAGATGGCTACCCTATGGGCCGTGGAACCTGACTGTTCGCTACTTACTTACTTATTTATGGAGCTGAGCCCTTCTTGAGGAGAAGCAAAATCTTCAGCTACCCAAGAATTTCCCAGCTTATGGAATCCGAAGGTTCATTACCGTGCTCACAAAAGCCCTCCACTTGATCCCTACACTGAGCCAGATCAATCCAATCCATACCATCCCATCCTATCTCTCTCTTTTTCATTGCTAGTGGGGTGGGACTAAGTCCCTTGTACTGCGGCCACTTCTGGCCTATTGTACCAGCCCCAGATGATAGGTGAGGGTGATTGTGGAGCAATTGGAGGAATGAAGATTGGCAGGGGAAACCGAACTACTCGGAGAAAACCTGCCAAAGCGCCAATTTGTCCACCACAAATCCCACTTGACCAGACCCGGGATCGAACACGGGCCGCCGCGGTGGGAAGCTAGCAACTAACCTCTTGAGCTATGGCGCGGCCCATCCTAGCTCTCTAAGATCCATTTTAATATTGTCCACCCACCTACGCCTTGGTCTTCCCAGTGGTCTCTTTTCTTCTGGCTTTCCCACCAATATCCTATATGCATTTCTCTTCTCCCCCATTCGTGCTACATGCCCTGCCCACCTGATCCTCCTTGACTTGATCATTCTAAGTATACTTGGAGAAGAGTACAAGTTATGAAGCTCCTCATTATGCAGTTTTCTCCAACCTCCTGTCACTTCATCCCTCTTCGGTCCACAAAACCCTCACATCCTATTTGTTATGATCCCTTTTCATAGTAACCACCCACCTGTGCTTATGTATCCCAAGTTGACTCCTTCATTCAGGTTGCCGGCTAAAGTTTTGTAAGCATTTCTTGTATCTCCTATGCGTGCTACATGGCCCTTCGATCTCATCACCCTTATCAAGGATGGCAACTTGATAGAGGTTAGTGCATCCTTTTCAGTTTGCTGCACATAGCTGTGCTCCCATTATTTTAGATCATTAAACTTTCTTAGCGGGTCACAGTAGCCGAGCGGTCTGAGGCATGTACTGCCTTCGCTAACTCGGAAGCCGGGATCGTGGGTTCGGATCTGTTTCCTGTGAGGGACGGACTGAATTCTTATATATTATTCTTATACACTGCCGGTCACGGTAGCCGCGCGGTCTGAGGCATGCACTGTCTTCGCTCGCTCGGAAATCGGGACCGTGGGTTCGGATCTGTTTCCTGTGAGGTACGGACTGAATTCTTATATATTATTCTTATACACTGCCGGTCACAGTAGCCGCGCGGTCTAAGGCATGAACTGCCTTCGCTCGCTCGGAAGCCGGGATCGTGGGTTCGGATCTGTTTCCTGTGAGGTACAGAATGAATTCTTATATATTATTCTTATACACTGCCGGTCACGGTAGCCGCGCGGTCTAAGGCATGAACTGTCTTCGCTAACTCGGAAGCCGGGATCGTGGGTTCGAATCCCACTCAGGGCATGGATGTTTAGTTTGTGTGTGTGCGTTTTTCTGTGTTTGTGTACAGGTAGAGGCCTTGCGACGAGCCGATCACTCGCCCAAAGGAGTCCTACCGAATGTGTAAGATATATGTAAGGAAAAACGAAGGAAGAGTGGGAACACCAGTATCGCAAATCGTGCCCCCATCTCTGTTAGATTAGCAGACATCGTCAATCGGGTTTGTGAAAAATACATTTTTTGCCCCCCCCCAACAAGACTTAATTTCAACTGACCACAGTCACGCTCTTTAGGTTAATGGCCCTTTTCCAAACAACCGTACTGACCATTTGACTCAAACATGACCTGTCCTTGTGGAGCAACGACCGACCTTCAGCAACAGATAATGTAATGGTGACCCTTCATTGTGATTGCACAAGCAACATGACAGTGTTTATATTGGTCCGTGTTAGAACTCAGATCCACAGCCTCCCCTGTGGAGGCGGGGTCGAATACCTCCAGAGCAGGAAGCAGGTCTTCTTACTACCTAGCCACGAGGTTCATTAATCCATCATGACTCTGTGTTTTGTTAGCATTGTGTTGGTAGTTTGCTGAAACAATATAGAATTAGCATTACAAAAGGTTAATTAATTCCGTCCAGTGTGACTGATGGTTTTTCTTTTTAATCTTTTATCCTTTGCATGTTTTGGTCCTAGAGACCATATTCAGAAGGATATCAATACAATTAGAAACTACTATTACAATATGTTTTGTGAGTATTAATATGCACATATGTACAATGTCATCACAATGCAATATACAAATCTAATGTTTTTTAACAACTACAGCGGCTTGTACCAACACGTTAAAATATTTATTACAGTTACTTTAAAAATTAACGTTTTTAAGCATACTAACTGTAATCAAATATTTTAACGTTAAGTTACTTTAAAAATTAACATTTTTAAACATACTAACGGTCACGGTAGCCGAGCGGTCTAAGGCGTGTGCTGTCTTCGCTCGCTCGGAAACCGAGATCGTGGATTCGAATCCCACTCACGGCATGGATGTTTAGTTTGTGTGTGTGCGTTTTTCTGTGTTTGTGTACAGGTAGAGGCCTTGCGAAGAGCTGATCGCCCGCCCAAGAAGTCCTACCGTATGTCTAAGATCTAGAAAAACCGAAGTGAACGGAGAAGTTCATGGAGGTAGGCCTAGGCCCACTGGGGCTATAGTGCCAAGAAAAAAAAAACATACTAACTGTAATCAAATATTTTTACGTGTTGGTACAAGCCTCTGTAGTTGTTAAAAAACATTACATTTGTATATTGTATTGTGATCACATTGTACGTATGTGCATATTAATACTTACAAAACATATTGTAATAGTTGTTTCTAATTGTATTGATATCCTTCTGAAGATGGTCTATAGGACCGAGACATGTTAAGGATAAAAGATTAAAAAGAAAAAACCACCAGTCACACTCGACGGAATTAATTAACTTTTTGTAATATTGTTAGTGTGACGGGCCAGAAGGAAACAAATTAAATGAGCATCCTATCTAATACATATGAGCACTTCTTTTTTTTCCCCCTTGGCTCTACAGCCCCAGTGGGCCTAGGCCTACCTCCATGAACTTCTCCGTTCACTTCGGTTTTTCTAGATCTTACACATTCGGTAGGACTCCTTGGGCGGGTGATCAGCTCGTCGCAAGGCCTCTACCTGTACACAAACACAGAAAAACGCACACACACAAACTAAACATCCATGCCCTGAGTGGGATTCGAACCCACGACCCCGGCTACCGAGCGAGCGAAGACAGTGCATGCCTTAGACCGCTCGGCTACCGTGACGACCGGCTATGAGCACTTCTACTAGAGTGTAAGTGGCCGGAGGGTGAAGCTGACCGCTCTCATCCAACCGGCATCGAGAATCAGAATGCCTGCAACAGTGCTCGAGAGTGTTGCACCGTCAATGTTCATTTCTGCAATCCGCGCACACCACAGTAAGAGCATGCGCAGTGCAACCCAATGGGTTACTTTAGTAGGTTATGTTTCAAATGCCTATAAATTCATAAAAGTTATTTACATTAATTTGTTTTTAATTTTCTAATACAATTTTTATT